GTCATGAAAAGAAGCCGAACTGAGTTGTGCTTCTGCGTTCGGGGTCGGGCTTCCTTTTGGGGTTTCCCTTCCCTCTCCTTTTGTTCCTTCTCTAACATAGCGGTGTCTCTGTTTGGGGTCGGAATAACTTCGATCAATATATTCAAAGGAAGCTGCTTGCAGGTCGATACCTCTCACTGAGGTTCACAGGCAGCAATGCCTTCGCAAAATAACGAATCGTTGGGGGATTTCCCAATAAGAAGGTGATCGATGCAAAAGTTGATCGGATGCAGTAGACAGGTATTCCAACCCCCTTCAGTTGTCATGGACGCAATGGAGCTGAGAAGTTGTAAAGAAGCGCCATTTGACCTCGAGCCCTGCAAACTTGCGCAACAGCACAAACACAGGCGGACACAGAGGCGCGCACACAAACACACACACACACACAGAGACATACACACACACACACACTTACATACTTGTACACCGGATCATCAAAGCATTGAGATCTCATCTGAGACCTAAAGAGAAAATCTTGATGGGAGGTCTTCAAGGATTTCCTTGTTGAAGGCTCCCTGAAATGGAACATGTTGCTGCCGAAGGTATACCCTTTCCCTGAGGCCTATTTGCACAGCGGCGATATCACAGTGGAGCACCATGCACAGCTTGCACGATCATGAGGTCACAAGTTTGTTTGCAGGTATACGAGTCAGCGTCCTGACTCGTTCACAGGTAAGACGCTGGCGTCTTCGTTGGTGCCAGTCCAGCACGCATCCCTGGTTTCTCCTGCATTCTTTCAATCTCATCGCAGTCAGCTCTGACTTAATAAGCCTACACCCGTTGCAGTTTGGGTTTCCCACATACACACACACACACACACGCACACACACACACACACACGCACACTCACTCACACACACACACACACAAAGGATACAAACAGCCGGCGCGCTGTCTCTTGGACTGACCGGCAATGTTAGCAAGACAGGGAAGGGGCACCCAGATCCGGACGCCCACCTTGCGGCCAATTTCTTCGCAGGGCATTTCAGGGTGTCCGACCCTTGTACAGAAGCAAATGCCTTCTGCAAGTCGCCCCAGTCCGGATGTGCAAATGCCAGCAACCGTTTTGCAAGGCTTACCTCCGTAGTTGCGAGAAACCGGGAATCTGCAAAGGATCTTGCTGGCACGAGTTATGTGCACTTCCAAACTTGCAAGGTGCTTGCACGAAATCCGCGGGTGTTTGAGAGACTCTGTCTCAGAGACGCGCAGAGACGTCAATGAAGAAGCTGGCCTTTTTTGCAGAAGCATAGGGTCTTTCTCCCGGAGTCGAGAGAGAACTTGCGAGAGTAGGGTTTCACTCGCAGGCTGTGGAGAGATCCGTCGCAGAAGGCGCCAGCCAGGGCCTCTCAGCACAGGGTTGTCCCGGACTCTCATTGTCTGAATTTGCTATGGAAGTCTATGAAATCGATGCATCCCACGGCCACTGATGGCACCGGACGCGATTTCAGTGCAAGGATCACTGCAACTAGGCCCAATTGACGCTGTGTGTCCAAGGCGTCAATGCCGTGGATACCCACAGCTGGAGTGCTCTGCACTACTCTGCGGCCTCCGGCCAGTTAGAGGCGCAAGAGCCACAATTGCACCACGCCAGAGTCGGGCCTAGAGTCCTAGAGCGATTCCATCATGCTGAGTTCGGGATCTCAGGTGTGCAAGTTTCTTCTGCAGCAGGGCTGCGACATCAATAGTACCCTGCGACTTAGCAGCATTCGTGCAGAATCTGTGCAGCATGGCAGGTAGGCCCAGGTAGGCATGCTAGGTAAGAAGAGCATGAAGAGTTCGCGTGCCGGGCAGGAACGATTTCTCCACGCCATTAATGCTGGCAGTGGAGGAGGCCACATCTCATGAGCCAAAAGTGCAGTAAACGCCGAGTCCGGGTCACTGTGATTGCGTTTTCGTCGCTTCGCGAGGGCCACTTGAATGTTGCGCAGCTTTTGCTGAGCAATGGGGCTGTCCCATGGTGTAAGGCAGCAAGCACAGCTCTGCGCAGCTCTGTCACTGTCTTTCGGTGTTTCCGGATGTGCTGAGGATGAGACGGGTTTCACCGCCAAGGAGCGAATTCAAGACTGGGCTGCGGAGCTTTTCAACTCGTCTTTGTGCTAGTGAGGACAGATGCGACAAGAGCATCCAGGCAGAGCTTCTGCAACTGCTCGCTGCACCAGGCTACCGAAAGGCAGGTGCCCCAGTCACTAGCCCTCGAAACTCAAAAGTAATAAAAACAATAACGGCATACGCTAAGCCTGCAGGTCGATGCCGAGGCCGTCCGCGTGTGATCTGGGCGGAAGAGTTTCACCAAAGCCAATGACAAATATGACGGAAAGCAGGCGCAGCAAAAAGCGCCGCTGGTCCCAAAAGTCTTTAGAACCGCATAGAATAAGCGCAAACCAGAGAGAAGCTGGGCCCAGCAAGTCCCGTTTTCAATCTTGCGAGGTTTTGGTGCCTGAGGCGAGATATATTCACAGTTCTATAATCGCGAAGATGAGCACCTTTCGCAACAAAACCCGAGTTTCACAACAATACCTACCGCAATCGTGTTAAAGTCCCCGTGCGTTGCTTGCGGTCTGCGGCTGACGGTGCGAGCCAGCACCTGCAGCGTCCCGATGCTGCCAAAGAGCAAGCACGCCTGCCGCCAAAGAAATGCGGGCGAGTGGCAGCAAGCGAAGACTGGCAGCAAAGCATCATGACTTGCACGCTGTCTGGACGCTGCCAACATGTCGACACTGAAGTGTAGTGTGGCGTGAGCAAAAGATTCCGGTAGGGTATAGCGAAACCACGGATGGGGAATCAAGTTCTCGTAAGACTTGGATTGTTCCCTGCCAAAACTTCTCAGTGGCGAAACAGTGAACTCCACTGCTGTAGTAGTCCTGTTCAGTTTGCGATTAGCAGTGAAAGTGAAAGTGAGCTTCGTTTCACCAGCGGTTTCAGATTCCTTTTGGTTGCTTCGGGTGTGTGGGGGTTGCGGTGCTCCAGGTGACGCAAGACTGCAGGAGGTACTCTGATGGGAAGGTGTGCAATCATAAGTCTGGGAACAAACAGTTACCCCAAGCCCTAATCCCTAAGCCCTAAAGCATGAGAGTCAGTCAATCACTGATTGCGTGACAGTTGGCCTCAGGTCAAGGATCGGTCACCGTCGGCTTTAGGAACTTCCATGCCGCCTCTGTCAGTTTAGGATAAGCAGGCAGCAGGCATTGTTTCCTTCATGAAGTGACTTTTGCGGACGAGTGTTTCGTTTATGAGAGTGGTGAAGGCTGCTCGTAGCTTCCATCTGGAGCAGGGTGGCTCTTCAACCGGGAATGTGTCGCCGGATTCAGAGTGCCAGAATGTGTTTTTGCTCTTCTTGTAGAAGGCCAATGCAAATCAACAAGACTCAACGAACTAGTATCTAGACTCTAGACATTCAGGTTGTACAGAAACGGTATTGAAGCAGGAGTAATCGCAGAAGCTTGTTCCAGCGATGGTGCAGAATGGGAAGATTCATTTTGAGTTCTGCAGCAGGGGTCGCAAGTCTCTCCAGCAGTAGCTTCAAGTTCAGAAGTCACCAATGACCAACGCCGGTGCCATAGATCCAGCCGCGCACACGGATTCTCAGCCTCAGTTGCAGCAGATTGAGAACTGACAGTTGAATCTGCGTCAAGGGCTCTGCCGTTGCCTGAGCCTCAGTTGCCTGAAATTGGGCATGCCTTTGCCGCCTTTGCCTGGAGCTTCCATTTGGCGAGGTCGAACTTGCCAGACGCGCGGCCGGCGCCGTGCACTTCGTCCTGATATTGACCGGGTGTGCCTCTCGTGTTGGCAGACACCCGCTCGCGCATGCAAAGAGCTCCCATCGCCAGGAGTTTGGTGTTCATGCAGAGCTTCCACACATTGAATTTCTTTCATCAGCAGGCACCTCGAACCTCGATTTCTGAGTTCTGCCGAGCCCTTTCGGACCCAGAGCTGGCAGGGCCAATGGGCATCACTTCGCGGGGAAGCCTGGCCAACGACGGTTAGCTCTTGAGAGCAAAGCATCACAGTCTCTCCTGCAAGGCGACATGGCGAGAACCTGCTGGCAGTCCTACTTGCTCATTCTCAAGTTCTTCATGGCGCCGTTTTTCGAGGCTCGATGCTGACTCTTCTTGCTTCCTCTCTGAACATTACCGCCAGATAATCAACACCATCGACATTGTGAGCACAGTCAGCACACTGCCTTGCATCCTTTCCTGTTCGAGGCTCGTTTCCTGGACACCTGGCTAACCTCGCAGGTCGACTTCGATACCTGGGCCGTCTTCGTGCCAGGGACGGGCAAGCTTAAGATATCTTCCTTCACATATCAGGTATGTCCATTACATTCCATTCCCCAGCTACCCTTTCCGCTGAACATGCATTGTTCCTTTTGCTCATGTACATGCTACGCATGTACACATGTATCTCCGGGACGTACGCGCATGTGAATGTATGCATGCATGTATGTAAGTGCGAATGTTTGTTTGCCTGTCTGTCTGTCTGTCTGTCTGTCTGTCTGTCTGTCTGTCCGTCTGGCTGGCTGGCTGGCTGGCTGGCTGGCTGGCTGGCTGCTGTATTGTTGGCTGTCTGTCTGTCTCTGTCTCCTTGTGCCTGTGTGAGTGCGTGCGAGTGCGCGCAACCCTGTTCCTAAGGGATAGGACCGGCACAGATTTCTGAATGTTCTGCATGTCAGCAGGGGGCAGTGGCCCACTCAAGAGTCCACTGTTAACGAAGCTACTCTTTGAGTTGGGAGGATATCCAGGTTCATCACATGGACATACCTGCAGTCCTTTTTCATTGTGTGGCCAGAGGCTAAGCCAAGAACCCCAACATACTGCCTAGTGGCTATACGTCTTCGCCTCTCTGATATAGTAGGAATTGCATTGACAAAGATATCCGTCAGAGGCAGGATTGCACGAGTGTGGGTGTGTGTGTGTGTGTGTCTGTGTGTCTGTGTGTCTGTGTGTGTGTCTGTCTGTCTGTCTGTCTGTGTGTCTGTCTGTGTGTCTGTCTGTGTG